TATAAAGACTCAGTAATTCATTGCAAAACTACAGTGGAAAGTTTACAGCACAGGTGCAATCAGACTTTTGCATGGCAGTGTATACTCTGAAGGGTTTTGTACAATTTTCAGATGTACACTTACATCCGTCAGGAAAAATGTGTAATATCGGAGTGGCTTTTCATGCCCACTGTTTCACTGGTCATAACCAAAAGTCAGGCAGGACCAACATTGGTGACTAATACTTTTATTTCTCATGGACTCTCCATTTGAGACTAAGTTTCTTCTCTCTTCGACTGGATGCATGCGCTCAGACTTTTAATCCCCATGCATGCAGTAAAACAGCTGGAGTCCTTAAAGGAATGTCTACGGCTGTTCTGTGTACAAGACAACACTCATTTTTTCATTTTCCAGAAATGCTTCACCAACATTCGCATGTGCCGGAACTATTCATTAGGTGCAACTTCTACCCGACTTAACTAGTCTTACGGCAATAACTCCTTGCTCGATACTTTCTTCATAAATCTGGGCCACATGGAGTGTTCTCCAGTCTCCCACCTTTTAATTGTTCATAGCTTATCGGAGTACCTTCCTGTGTGCCTTGGCAACATTTTCCCCGTTGTCCAGCCCACACTGCACTTGTACAAGGGGCCAAATGCAAAAAAAGTTCACCTCTTTCTGGGTAATTCATGATGTTTTCTTGTCTATCCACACCTATACAGAAGACTTTACTCAGGTTTGGTGTGGTGTACTTCCCATGGCAAGGGCATATTTAATTACACCCATCTCTAGACAGGGGAAACCTGCTGCTACATGTAACTTACCGTTGGTCATGAAGGATTTGGAGGAGATACAATGGAACAGTTCTGGTCCTCCTCCCTCGGTGATTTTTTTATGCATCGGTCAAATCCTGCTCTGCCCTCTCAATCTTCACGGGCAGGGCTTGGGACGTAGACCAGAGGGAATTCGACACTGTCCCATCCCCTGGGGTCTGACTCTAATGGTTACATTGCTTAGCAGGTGCCTTAAATGCCCTAATTTGTAGGCACTATCTACAGTAGCAAGGTTCTAGCAGACATTTACTCAGTCAGATGAATACCTTTGTCTACTCATTCGGCTACCCTCCCACAGTCATGATTGCCGTTCAACTGGGGTCTTTATTGGATTCCTACCTTTGTTAATACAGGTAATTGTTACATGTGCACGGGTTCCTGTCACACCAACGTGACCCCTGTCAGGTTCAATCCAGACTTCATTACGATGTTGTTTTACTTTCTACTCCAACCCTCTCACCTGGGCTTTTTATCCTACGTGCATATCTTCGGCCCAAGGGCAGATCTTCAAAACCTGATACCTCTTGCCATCAAGACACACTTTGTAAACAGTTGAAACTGACAGATGGGCCCTCAACTACTGGTTTCTGTTAGCACATTGTCACTTCATCAGATAAATCACCACAGAGGTACACTCTTACTACGCCTCAGCCTCCTGTAAGTTGGATGTTCCAATGAGCCCTAGGCTTTGGGATTAACCTGAAGATAACTCACGTCTCAAAGCCAATAACTCTTTCACAGATTTCTGCTCCGACAGAAAGATTAACGTAACAGAACAGACAATATATCGCAATGTGACTGAGCCTGTCCCTTGGTACCCAACCATCTGCATATCACCGGCTCTGCCTTGACATGGAACATATAGTTGCTGTTATTCTGCACCAGACTCCCAGCGATTCTGTCAGAATTGGCTAGAGAAAACATTTGCTATTCAGACCATTAGACCTTCCTTACCCTAAGAATTAATTTACCCAGATTCCCAGGGTAACATTATACAGGAGTACACAGTTCTCCATTTTCATGACATGACGAATAGTGTGAACTCCAATTCAATGCCGATATGTGCAGTAACCGATTCTCCTCTACAGGACTGTAAGTACTGCAGTCACCAATTAAATGTAGCTACTGTTTGTTGTCTCAGCTACCTATGTGCTTCCCAAAGTGACTTCTATCCCTAAGACAACACTGACTCCAGGTATCCTCTTCCTGGCAAACATTTTGGTACAGCCGCCCTTTGTTGCTCCCAATAGCTGCTTCATTCCTGGATAGTGGTCTGTTGATGATATCCTCTACACAATACTCTCGTTGGGTGAAAGTCCCATGGCACCCCTTTTACCTTTGCCAAAGGCTACAATTCAAGGCCCTGTTCATTCTCTTCATACTAATAGTGAGCCAGGAATCAAAGCTGAGAGGTATTGTGCTTCTTCTATCATTACCATGTCAAACCTTGCCACCCTATCACGATCCACAACGCTAGGCTAATACATGCACAATGTCAACATCTTCTGTGTATGTTGGAAGTTATCTACATGTACATTGCTATATGTTAGATAACGCTACGACCATTTATCTCAGGCTACCTTTGGCATGGGAGTGCAATGAGTTCTGCTGAGACATGCCAATAATACCATCTTCGCCGAGACCAAAAGAACAAGCACTTAGACTACTTCAGCTATGTTCCGTATCTCTGGGTGTCTTCCTTTCATGGTCCTACACACTATTAAGTTTGGTATGTTGACTGGCCTTCTGGCCCAGATGACCAATGTAGATGACACATTTGTGCCCATGAAGTCCAGGCCATTTCATCAGTAGGGGCCTATTTCAAAGGGTTTCTTCTAATAGAGATTTCTAGAGAGCCTTCTTGGGAAACCCGTACCCCATTCACCTCCTGTTTACCTTGATGATGCTTGCAGGGGGGCCATACACATGGACTGACTGTACGTTGGATAGCATCACAGAAGCTCCATCCCGGACCATCCACTACCCTTGCAGGAGGAAGCACTGAAGCGGTCACTATAAGGTGGCTAGATACTTGTAGTGTGCCATTTGCTTCCCACCGTCCATTGGTTCAGTGCTACTCTGCATACTGTAGGTATTGGTAATCCGCGTAGGTTGCAGGCAGTAGACTCTCCCCCACCTGATATGGGTTGAGTCTACTACTGCATACCTACCAGATTACCAATTTCCCTCCTTCCTCCCCACACAGCCTTGGCGAACTTTGCGCATTGAAAAAGAGGGCGAACATGACCGATGCCTTCACGGGGAGGGGGATGCACTATTGGTGATCAAGAATTTAGCAAATGGAAGTAATGGACTAGGAAATAATGCATAGGTACATGTATCGGTAATCTGGTAGGTATGCAATAGTAGACTCAACCCACATTAGGTGGAGGGATAGTTTGACATTAGGCCTAGATCATCTTCTAAAATTCAGAGCTTGTTTCTTTGGATAAATTCCATTAAGACAGAGGTATGACAAAACAATTGTTGATTGCTGTGGTCTGGGATATGACATTTTGGACACCCTCAGGCATGCATAGCACCCGCGGCTTTGTCTCGGGGCGGTATGTGTCCCTTGGGTGTTCAAAACGTCATATTCCACACCACAGCGGTTAGCAATTGTTAAGTATTGTACAGAGTCCCAACAACCTTGTTATACATACAGGTGTTCAACTATACATACCAGTAACAATGCAAATGAATTAACAAAGATCTGAACAGAAAATGCTCATTTTATGCCCAGCTAACATAGTGGGAGGAGCATACTGTTTCCACCTTGCCTTTTTAACCCATACACACATGCTGGTGTTACATACCTTGTGTAGACATTCCTTTGTTTTCGTTTAGTTAAGAAAACAGGGTGAAATACTTATTTTCTTTAACTGTGAACACTATTTTGAGCTAGATTTTTGATAATGACTGTTTCTCTTCATTTTGTGACGGATAACCCTGACCCCAAAATGGCTCTAAACCTGTTTTTCATACAAAGAATAACCTTGTATGGACTGGCTAAGTCCACACAAGGGTCACACAAGTAGCTGCAGTATGTATGCATGTGGACCTCATTTGTTTCAGGTCCACACTGGATACATATGTAAGGTTCATGTGTGGGTGCGTGTATGGGGGGGTTCCTGCATGTAGGGGAAATTTTCTGTAGTTAGCAAACACAGAACCATGTAGTGGGAGCAAAAGTTTGTCCCTATAGCATTTTCAGTCCTCAAAAAATAACACATGTAGGTGGACAGACAACTTTACTGAAGTCCTCTCAACTACTGTACCGGTACAAATATTTATGTGAATATGCCTTGTCAGTACCAGAGCTTGAGAACTATTTGACACATGGCCTTCAGATTTGCTTTGTGGATTGCTTTTGGTGGTTCCAAGGAGCCCATTACATTTGGGACGCAAGGGTCAAGGTCAAAATGACCTTTTTTGTTATTTTATCAATGTCGTGAAACAAAGGATTTAAAGCAAATAATTTCACTGACATGTTTATTTTACTAACCTTTAGTTCTAAATTTTAATTCTTGAGTTGGGTCTGTCGTGAAAAATCTACTTGCGCCAAAAATATCTGAACAAAAATTTATAAATACACAAGGTGACCAAGTATTTTCCACTGCAGTCTTTGAGAATGAGGAACAATCCCATCTACCTTTTGTTTGCATTTCCATAGAAATTGTACTTTAAATTTAATTAAATTTGATTATTTGTTTGGTTTGGTTGGGTTAGGGGTTGCAGAGGACTCACTAGGGAACCCCAAACAGTAGAGGACATTAGGGACCTGATTCACTGAGGTTCCTCAGTTGACAACTGTGTACAGAACGTATTATGGGAGGTCACCAAAAAAGTTTGAACAAAAGAGGAACAAGTCGGATCCCTAGTTGTATTCATATACACACTGTTTGGTTCGGGGTTTGATGGAAGGGGAGGATGGGGGTTTTAGTTGATTCTATTTTTACATCAATACAAATAAGAATTAAAAGTAAGCTTGTGAATTTTGTTGCAATCTCTCGGACCAACATTAAGTATACATTGTTAATCGATGTATACCTTTGGTAAGGGCAAGGGTATTAAACAATTAAAATATTCTGATTTGAAACATTTTCATTTACAAATGAATATGATAACATGTTTTATTTGATGATGAGTTATTAGTGGATCATTCACATTTTGAAATGAAACTTTCAGATCCGTGTGCTGAGCATTTTTGACCACCCAAACATCATTAGCTATTATGACAGCTTTGAGGAAGATGGAACTCTGATGATAGAAATGGAATATGCAGATGGAGGGTGAGTAGAAGATGGAAATTTCATAAATATGCTTCCATTGCTGTCAGTAAAAAAATAATACATTGCATCAAGTTAAATACTTTCAAACCATTTCAACTTAAAACTTTAAAAGTGAATATTATCTTAAAAGTGATGCCATTATGGCAAATCCTTGCATCAAGTGAATAAATCCTGGCCCAAATAAACCCCTGCATCACCTATTTGTTTGTGAAGAGCCTTATAGCAGAACCAAGGTAACTTCTATTTTATGTGGCATGGAACATCTGCTTGTCCATGTTAACATACATGTACCATGCAACTACATGCACCAAATTCATCAAAAATCAACAGAACAAGGACACAACAGAAACAAATATATTAATAATAAGTTTGATATTTACAAAAAAGGGGAAAATACATTGTAGAACCTTTCTACTTCAAACAATATCTCAAGAAGTCACACACAAATTGGATGGCAAAGTGAAGATTACATGTACATGATGATTAATTCCGGGTGCGACAGCATAGATGGAGCTCTGGTGTGGCTATAGCTGTCTGGGAGGGTTTGGGTAGAACATCAGCACTCTCATAAGGGCTGGTGATGGTGTGATCATCTACGCAGAGCACCAAACCAGTCTGGCCCAAGCCATCAGAGATTACCAGATAACAGTGAGCCTAGGGACAGCTCAAAACCTTTGAAGAAGAGGTCTCAAGGCAAGCCCATTGGCAGCTCATTTTGGTTGTTGGCTACCAAAACTTAATACAAGTAGGGGACGCACATCACTGGAACAAAGGGAAGTGGACAAAGGGAAGTGGACAAAGCTTTTCACTGACCACACGTTGTATTCGACGTGTGTGTTGTCAGCATACTCAAGCCTGGCTTTTATGCTCGTTGAACCCCAGACCAACAATACACTGTACAGTCTACAGCGATGAGGGCCAAAATGCCTTATACAAATTTAAAAGAACAATTTTGTGTGCTGCATACTTAAGAGTAACAAATTCTTAGGTAGACCGTGGGAGGTTTCATACTGGCTGAACCATCACAGTATAAATAAATAGCCCAACAATCAGATCACACAGATTTAAGTAGGTGCTGTATAAATGAATACCAGATTTTAAAAACTTGGAGAAGGCCAATATTTTGTTCAGTAGCAAACGCAACAGCTTTACTTTGATTTTTCTTTTTGTTCACTCTTTATAAATGCAGATGATGTATAAATATGCTTTAATGCAGGGATGTCAAATCTTGCACCAGCTCAATCTCCATTCCAAATCTCCATATGGAAAAAGTTCTAATTCTTCATCACAAACACATCATTAATGGTGAATAATAAAGCTAAATTTGTCTACAGGTACCATCAGACCAGTTTTGGTTCATGTATTCTGTAGATTATAGTTCATGATGTTCTGGTGGCAAAATGTCTCATTTAGAGTCTGCTACCTATTTCTTGCACTTATTATTGTATATGCGGTACTGTATTATAAATGCACCTGAAAATGTGTTTTGTGAAATTTAATGGACCTGTTTCTTTCGTGTGTTGTTCAGAACATTGCAGCAGTACTTGAATGGTTTGCAAGGGAAGCGAGAATTAGAAGAAAGAGAGATTCTCATTATGTTCCAACAAATGGTTGCTGGTGTAAAGCATATCCATGACCACAATATTCTACACAGGTAGTATTCCCATTTTTATAATGAGACAATTTTTATTCAACTTGGGTTGCAGATGCACTGACAAAAATGTCTTTTTTGGGGGGGTCTTGCTACAAATGATTGTCATCGGTGATAAACTGCATAAAGCTATCAAGAATGTCTCACACAAAACCCCAAAATGCTTTTAGAATCACTACTGTGTCACTTCTTGACATTGATAACAATGAATGAGATAAGTTATCAAATCAGCTTCGAATTCAGCAAGTTGAAACTATCTTTGCATTCCTCATTGAGTGCAGTGAAAAGGGACATGCAGGAGTGTGTGATACTGGTACAAAAGGAGCAGTAGCCAATCCACAACATTATATTTCTCACATTGACTGTGCAATACATTATTGAACATGTCCAATCTTTAAGGATCGTTTCTGCAAAATCCACTAAAAACTTGTTGCAGATTTTTTTCATTTTATTTTTTTTATTTGTTTCCTGTCTATGTGTGTTGTGATTTCCATGTACTTATTTTGCTTTTCGGCAAAGTGTGATTTGGGCTACACAAGAAACTTTTTCATTTGGTTTGATTTTTGTGTGTTGTTTGTTTAATTTTTTCTTCAATAATTTGGCTGGTTGTAGAAATAAGCTTTTTTGTTAGTTATATTTAGACATCATTACACTTCTGGTAACCCTGGAAGTAAAGGTCAAGTTGCTTTGTGTCTGAAATTAGAAGTGTTCCCGAAAGTTCTGTTTGTGGCATCACTAAATATTAACAAAGTGACTCATCCAGGCATCATCCCGATCAACTGTTCTTTCACGTATTGTCCGTATTTTTTTCCCATCTTTATGGCGTTGCATGTAATGGAGGTGTGCACTGAAGCCATGTGCCCTTTTGTCATTGTATTAAAAGCATCATGAATAAGCAGAAGTTTTTCTGGACTGACCGCCAGTCTATGGAAAAGACATTCATTCCCCATTTCCAGTATAAATAATTTCAGATTGAAATGATTGGTAAGTTTTGATTCATTTTTTTTTTTTTAAATACAGTTATCTCCATTCATGCAAAACAAAGGTAGCTTCGAAGCTGTTTTGCACATAAAGCCAGTTTGACACAACAAAATATCTGAGCACTTTCTTTTCCGCACTTTTTTCCTTTGGGAAAGGTTTTGCTGGGATCCTAGTCGTAGGTCTTCCCTGTATAATGGTTACATGTAAGGACACAATACTGGCTAACAAAAATGGGACACATAGGTAAAAATTCAATCTAGTGAAAGGTGTTTAATTTACTTTTAAATTATGAGAATGGACCACCCTCTATCAGAAAATAGCAACGGGAAGATAATGGGCCCAAGAAATTTTCTTCCATGCAGTGCTTTCTGTAGAGGGGGCCTCATAAGTTAACGTTGGTTACGGTGTCCACTTTGCAGTCAACCATGCAATAATAAAAGTCAAAGAAAAACAATGTGGAGTTGTATTCTTGTGGTTAAGCTTTTCCTCCTTTCTGAAAGTCATCTTTAAAAAAAATGTTAATTGTTACTAATTTTACGATATCTTAATAAGGTGGACACCGTAACTAAA